TGCAGTTTGGAGAGATCCCCTCAAGAAACTCCGATCATCACCCTCTAACCTCATTTTGACATCCATGGCCATAGCAGACCTATTAGTTGGCTTGGTGGTTTGTCCGATAACTGCTTATTGGGGCTTGGTGATATCTGTCCGAGGAGAATCACCGCTAGATCTTTCTGTGATATTTGCCATCAACGTTTTCTCTGTAAACGTGAGTTTTGGCCATATGTTCCTTCTAACAGTGGACAGAGTCTTCGCCGTAACTACGCCACTTCGTTATCGTGTAAGAGTTACAAATAATAGAGTTTTTATCGCCAACTGTGCTTGCTGGATTTATTTCATAGCTTTTGGCAGTGCATTCCTCATGTTGCCCGATTTATTTGCCATAATGGGGGCTGTCGACAACTTTCAACTTCTATTTATGCTTTTGGGCATGTTGGCCATGTACGTAATGATCTTAAACTACTTTCACCGATACTCCAAAGAAAGAGCAGAAGGACACTCACTCAGAGATCGTAACATTATAATGCAAAGAGAAAAAGATCTCTTTAAGGCAATCTCAGTTGTCGTCTGCGCATTTCTCATCTGTTACATGCCGTGGTTAATCGTTAGTACGTTGATCTACTTTTGCAAAGCGTGCCATCCACATTTATCATTACTGATGTTTTCTCTCGGATTTTCAGGAAGTCTGACATGCGCAAACTCGGGTTTAAACCCATTTTTGTATACGTGGCGACTCCCAAAGTATAGAGAAACATTACTATACTTTTGGAGGCAACTAATTTTAAAGAAAGGAAAAGCTAACAAATCAAAATTTACGATATCTTAAAGCTTCTGTCGAGGGTTTAGTTGTCAGAAAGCACGAACCTTAAATATAGAGATCTAATTGTCCTAGAAGAATGGTGTTGAATATTTAATATCTGCCGCGTTTCAAACAATCACCAGATTTCGTAAACAGAAGGACCGTAGGGGTTAGTTGATCGCTTGATGGAAGTACGACGTCAGTATCTGAAGATTTTACCCTTCCAGATTTAGAGAGAGATGAAGGTCTCATTGGGTCTAATCATGAGCTGTAAAACGGCAAATAAAAGTTAGCCGTTAGGCGAAAAAGTTGACAACTTTTAACTGTTAGTCGTAAAGAAAGTTAATGGTTAAAATTTTCTTTCAACCGTAACGGAAAGAAATTAAATGTTAGCGGTAAAATGATTAACATTTCAACTGTTAGCAGTAAAAGAAGTTATCACCCAAGTGAGACACTCAGTGATTTATCGCCTTTGAAAACCATAAATAGCACTTGCGGGAAAGCGAAGTTCAATGCGAGTTTCACTCGCATTGAAACTGATGCATATTAGAAGGTAGTTTTCTTGCGTGTCGGGATTTTCATTTTTAGTTTGATAAATTAATATGAGATCCCTTGAGCCTTAATCAAGTGATCAACACACCAAGCTCTAGGGCAATATCTCGTAAATATCTTTATTTGGGAGCAAATAAATAAAGTTATCATGAAGTCACTCACGAGAAACGAGTTTCAATTTCCTGTAAGTTTTCTCTAAGTTCCGATCACCAATATCTTAATTTGTATAGGTAATCACATGATTTTAAGGGCAATTTGGAATAAATAAGCACGAGTAAAATGTTTTTAAAGACTAACAAAATTGCACGAGCCCGTAGGGTGAGTGCAATTTGTGGTCTTTGAAAAAATTAACAAGTGCTTATATATTCCAAATTGCACGAGAAAAATCATGCGACTACGTGTTAATAAAATACATGAAACAATACGAGATAGCTCATCATAATCAAGCAGAAGCCAAGCGCGCGCATCAAGTGTAAAAATAATTTGCGTGCGTTCGGTCAAAACAAACGCGTACGATCAAAACAGTAATAGACAATGATATCATCACATCTTTAAGGCACAAAAAAGTTCAAAGTCCGACTAAACAGTTAAAGGAATTGTTCAGTCTTTGTCCGAATCACTTTCATCGTCATCAGAGTTGTAACAAAGTCCAAATTTTGAGATTTCAAGGACTTTTCTCGACAAGATTTTGAAGGTCTCAACTCTTTCGTTTCTGGGAAGTCGTGACAGTTAGGAGTCCAAAAAACTTGTCATTCGTTTATCTTTCTGCGCCATTTCAAATACAATTACATCAGTTTACAACAATTGTTAAAGAAAGACGGATTAATAGCAGGGAAATCTAATAAATACTATTAAGTATTGTAGGCGTGGGTTCCCCCACAAAAAGTATTCAATTAAATATACCTAGAAAACAGAATAGTAAATACCAAGTTTACAGGCCATATTTATTATCCATGGAAGAATGAGTAGTTGCTGACAAAAGATATCTCAAAACTTTTTTTCTATAGAATACTAGAGATGAGAAGCCAGTGATCTCAAGATTAATGGAGTTGAAGAAAACTGTTGAATATATTTGTTCTACAAAATGTAGAGGAAAGGAGTTTTTATGAATATATTTTGAAATTTTTGATGGAGGATCTTTTGAACGAAAGCATGAAATGACCAAGCTATTAAAGCAAGTTACCGTATTTTCTCGAATAAGCGCTTACGCTCAAATAAGCGCCTCTCCCGAATAACCGACCACCCCCGTGGCCATATGACGTCGATTTGAAAATGAATATATATATTTATATTTGGAATTTCGAGAATGACTGGATGTGTTTACCATCTCTTACAGCGCCGCAAGTTAACCTCAGCATAACATATGAGAGTGGCGTAGAGTTCCCAACAGAAACTTAACTAATTTGCCAGCGGGATTTCCTCTCTCGGACCACGCAAATTTTGATGATTTCACGTTGTTATTTTGCAGAAGGCGAAGAAATGTACACAGTTTTAAAACGCACCTGCTGAGCTATTGCTCTGCTTATAAGACCGTTTGTTTTGCCACGTCCTCGCCTCGTTGCCGTCGCCGTCGTGCTTTGCTAAAGGTCCTTAATATCAAACAAGTGCTCCCTCGAATAAAGACCCCCCTCCCCTCCTCCCTCACTTTTTTAATATCAGGGATACAAGGAAAAGCTGTTTCTATTTCCGCTTTCTTCATAACTTTTTTAAGCTTTAACCACAGAGGAATCAGTACAAGTTGATAGTTTCTTTATAAGCGCCCCCCTCGATTAAGCGCCCGCCTTCCGATAAGCGCCCCTCCTTTAGGCCGAAATTTTAAAAAGGCACCCGGGTTAGGGTTAGGGTTTCTTGTAAATAGGATCTGTCATGGTGAGACTTGTTTACTTTCCTGATGAAACGTCTTTGCTAAATGATAATTCTATGATCATTTGTTTTTATAGCTTCATCCGCAGATTAAATTATAATCATTAAGGCTTGGGGTCATCATGGGATAGGATTTGGAAAGAATGAAACTAGATCTAAAAAAGTAGACTTGTAGATTTAGATATTTTTGCTAGCTACGTCAGATATATGCGATTTCCATGTTACATTTTCATCTAAAACTACCCCAAGTTAGACTGTTTCATTAACATGTGCAATGGGTGTCTGATTGATGACGATATGAAAGTCGACATGAAATACTTCTTTTCTTAAGGTTTAAGTTCTAAAAACAAGTATCAGGAATGAAATAAAATGGATTGATATTTGCCCTACTATTTCCTAAATTTAGATTATGAACTGTCGTGGCGAGCCCTAAAAGTTAACCACACTGTTAAGAAACGGGCCCTTGGCCCTCTACCTGTGACCTTCTGGAGTCTCAATCTCTTTTAGTAATTTTTCTATCTCGTGGTAGTCTGTGGAACGATTACAATCACACGAAAGGCCATCTCGACTCAAATAATAAAATTTTGGTGATAAGCAGACCACCAGTTGTTTGTGAACTGACAAAGTTATCAAATTTTTTTGAAACATAAAGGCGTCCGTACTTTAATTTTTAACTTAAGACAATTTTGGAGCGATTAGGTAACCGGTCGGAAATCATTTTCACAAGAACCTTCTTATGAAGAAAAAAGAAAAACTAGACTATTTCAGTTGTACTCGAGATCGTTTGTATAACAAAGGCAAGTTAAGTTTTTCAAATCTGTCAAATTTTTGGATTTGGTACATAACATTCTGCCCTAAAGTTCGTGTGACACATTAGTGGTAATGCTTGCTAACCAAGAAAGGAGAGTTTGAGTGTAGACAGACACCCCAAGCGTTGCATGGCTGAAACATAAGACAGTTTCATTGAAAAATATATGTCTCCCTTACAGAAAGTGACCTTCAAACTTTCTTAGAAGGCAAAGAAAACCAGTATTTGAAAAGAAAAATCAAAAGTTACGCATTTAGAGTCTTTGGTAAAGCATTTCTCTTTTGGCACACATCTTTATAGTGTTTAAACAGCCCGTTGAGTAAATGGAAATTTTTTTTTTCAGAACAGATATAATAACGGTGTTCTGTTCAGGTTAATTTTTGTTTGGTAGTGGATTGGGGTCGCGAAGACATATATTTTATTGGACGTTTTGCTGTGTAGGATAGCTGAGTATTTTTATGAGTTTACCCGAAGTTTGACGAGATCGTTGGGCAAGTCAAAATACAAACAACGAGTTTTGAAAAACTGAACTCAGAGCCACCCTGCAATTTCAAACAGCTTCATGGAGATAGTAGGTTAGTAAAGCCTTTTTTCAACAAGGGTGGCACAAAATAGTAATTAAAAAATCCTAATTAACCAGGGGCCCTCTTTAAATTAATAAACATGACAAAATTTAAACAGACATTAAGAAATATTTAAAATCTTCTTCTTGAAACCATAGCATAATTTTAAATATGCAGAAATAAGTTCACCCAAAATGTTATGATCAAGTAAAACAATAATCCTGGCAGGTGAGCTGCAATTTTACCAATTGCAGAAAAAAAGGCCCGAAAAAAAAAGAAAAAAAAAAAAGAACGAAATTGAACCTTCGAAGGAGTTCGAACCCGAGGCTTCCGGGTACAAGTTAGGCTCAAATACCAACTGAGCTACCATTGCAATTGCTTAAGTTGCCGATCATCTGCGAGTTTAATTGCTTTCCTTGATGTTTTAAAGCCTAGTGTCGTAAAACTGATGCTCAATGAATTGTCCGCTTCGATTATTTCGCCTTTTCAACAAGTGCATGAAAGTCTCCCGATATTTTGGAAACCTCCATGCGTATATGAATGGATTCACACCCGAGTTTGCGTGCATTAAACTTGTTGAAACAACGTAACTCAAACATAAGTTAGATAAATCGCTAAAACAAGGCAGACAGAAATAGATTTGAAAGTGAGTCACAAACCAAGGTATGAAACAAAATAGCAGGTAATTTAGTGTTAACAACTGAGTTGAAAATGTAAATTAGCCACCGCAAAGGGTAAAAAAGCTGACGTTTCGAGCGTTAGCCCTTCGTCAGAGCGATTGGAGGAATTGTGGGTTTTGTGTGGGTTTATATGCAGAAAGTGGAGCTACGCTATTGGTGGGAAGGTCTCCGGGCCCTCAAACATTTTTTCGATCATCACACTGTTTGGGAATCTAGCTCTGAAAACTACTCCGTTTGGCCGAACTAGTACTCACACTCAATTGTTTTTCATTCGGTGGTAACTACTACAAACAAAATAATGGCGTAGCCATGGGTACTAAAATGGGACCCAGCTACGCCAATCTTTTTGTAGGTTTTATCGAACATCAATTTTTTAGTCAATACCACGGCCCAAAACCTGAACTCTACGGCCGTTACACTGACGATTACATCGGCGCTACCTCCTCTACCAAAGAGGAGCTCCCTCAATTTATAACCACCGTCAATTCCTTTCATCCGGCTCTTAAATATACCTTTTCGACACTTCTTTGGTTTTTTCTAGACATCAAAATTTCAATTGAAGGCAACGGTTTATGCACTAGTGTTTACTTCAAACCTACAGATTCACATAGTTACTTGTTGCATTCATCTTCACATCCATCACACGTCAAGAACTCCATACCTTTTTCACAGTTTCTCAGACTTCGTCGTTTATGTAGTGACGACTCTGATTTTTCCGAAAAATCAAAGGCAATGTGCCAGTTTTTCGATAAACGTGGCTATCCTGTCTCTGTCGTTCAAGCGGGCCACCACCGTGCCCAACAAATTGATCGACAGGCAGCACTACAAATGGCTGAGTAGGATAACACTGACCGCATTCCATTTACTCTTACATTTCACCCTCACAACCACGCAGTTAAATCTATCATTCTTAAAAGTTTTAAATTACACCAAAACTATTCAAAGACTGGCACTATCTTTTTGCAACCCCCACTTATTTCATTCAAACGTGACAACAACATAGGCAACTTTTTAGTCAGGAGTTCATTTCAAACCAATGACCAATCTGGAACTTTCAAATGCGCTCGCTCACGATGCAAAACTTGTTCTTTCATTCATAACGTAGAGAAAATATCGGGACCCAAAGAGATCCATTAAGATCACTGATCACTTTACGTGTACCTCCGCTAATGTTATTTACTGCATAACTTGCACTTATTGCAATAAGTTATACATCGGCGAAACAGGAAGACGACTAGGTGACCGATTCCGAGAAAACCCTCGCGACGTGGAAAGAAATGACAAGGACGCATCCAAACCATTCGCTAGACACTTTAATCTTCCTAATCATTCTAAACAGCACATGGCAGTTTGCGGCCTATCCTTACATCTACGCAGTTCGGAAAGCCGTAAAACCGTCAATCCCCACGGAATCAACAAGCGCTTTTCATTCAACTAATTTATTCTTGTTTTCTTGTCACCATATTCCCACCAATGACGTAGCTCCGCTTTCTGCATATAAACCCACACACAACCCACAATTCCTCCAATCGCTCTGACGAAGGGCTAACGCCCGAAACGACAGCTTTTTTACCCTTTACGGTGGCTAATTTACGTTTTTAACTCAGTTGTTAACACTAAATTACCTGCTATACTCTCCTACCGATGCAGCACCACAGTTTCTTTAAAAACTTACCCCTTTATGAAACAAAATAGATATGCGCAAATGACAACTGCTATAGCTTTGCAGAGCCCTCTTTCCCGTTGAAGGATCATCTGACGTTGACTTGTTGATTGATGTGTTAATTCCGACTTCTGGCAATATAAATGGAAGCGTTTTACCATCACAGCAGACATTACAGATATGCCAAGGAGAATGCTGATAATTTGAATATTGTACGCAGTTTCCATTATGATAAAGTATCGGTGTTGCAATAAGCCAAAAGTAATTTCAAAGATGAAGAAATAAATCCAACAGCTAACAATAGCAACACTGATTCCTTTAGGCGTGACAACAGCTCGATACTGAAGCGGTGATACGATGGCAAAGAATCTGTCAAGTGTTAGGAGGAAGATGTGACCAACGCTAACGTAGACGAAGACTGCACTGACCGCCAGGTATGGAATTCGGGGAATTTTGAAATGAAACATGGACCAACCCCAAGTCACGGCTGTAGGGAGTAGAACTGATCCAATAAGAAAATCGGCAGTGGCCATTGATAACACGATCAACCCAGATGGCGATCTGCGAAGCTTCTTTAGAGGGTCTTTCCAAATTGACCAAATGACCAACGAGTATCCAAAGAAAATTATCGGAGCACATGCGATTCCAAGATTGACAAAGGTTACAGTTATAGTCTCTAAGTTGTCCACTCTCAGCCAGAGTACATTGAAAGTTTCTTTGCTTGTCATATTCCAAAAATCGTGATGGCTCACAAGCGCAGTCATTCTCATTCAAAACGCAATTCAAATGTAGAAAGCAGCTTAAGTTAGGTCCCTTGTCTGATTTACATGAGGTTTGTGATTTGCTTTGAGGACTCTAATTAAGGAGATTCCGAACATCACATTGTTTGTAAACTAGGCCAAGATAATGACAGGATGTTAATGTTTGCTGTTTCAGCAATTTGTGGGCATGTAATTGAACTAATGCGCCGAGGCGAAAGCTAATTGGTTAGGTCGTATTCAAATTTCACGATCTTCATTTCAAACTAATCATCATACGCTATCGTACTCACGAGGAGATGATAAGTTATTCAGTGATGCTCAGCTGAAAATTAAGCTTTTGACAATGTGTTGCCTCGGGGTTAAAAAGTGATTCGGTCTCTTTGAGGGGTCTCTTACTAGTGTACAAAGATATAGAGAGATTAATAACTGATATGATCTATGAGAAGGGACGCTATCGAAAGTTGCATGCAATTAAGCAATCTCGTCAAGTTGTTGAAACTTTTTTATTTGCGCTATAAAGCAAATATTTTTGCACGATTAAAGTCTCTAAAAGAATTTAAGACAATAGAATAATATGAGTATAATCATTGATTAAATTTTTGAACTGTGAAAGTTGGCCTAACCAAATTGTTAGTTGATTGTTACGTGATCCAACCGCATGCATCAATATCTTTCACAAAGGGAGATTTGAGGGGGCATCTAAAAACAATAAGACGGTTTTGAACAATAAGGATATTAGTAGTTGTTAAAATATCGTTTCCGTCTTAATGACATCAATGAAGATAAAGAAGCATGTCATGAGCATTTTCACAAATTGAAAGACGAGGGTTGAATCATAATCCTAAACATAGAAGTACGATTAGGTTTTTGTGTGTATAGTTTTCTTGTTTTCTTTGTAAAAGTCTCGTCTTCTGCTTTAAAGAAGAATTTTTTGGAGTCAAAGTGGAGAGAATACACAATTGGAAATAGAAGCTTCCAATATACTTCAATACAACCGCAAACTTTATATTGTCATTATCTTCTTGAGGTCAAAGCGAACCAAAGTGTCTTCAACATAAGACTTATTTTTACACGAGTCACCGAGTTGCAGACTCCATCGAGGAATTAACTCAGATAACAGGTTGAAATGGCAGCCGTTCTTGGCCACTACAACATTTGGAACTTAACAAGCGGGCAAGCTCTTCAAGAAGGATGGCTAAGCCTACAAAACGTGAGGCCACTCTCAACGATCAGCGCTGCCTTATCGATAGCAATGGCACCAGTAATCATATTTGGAAATATTTTGGTCTTAGTTGCAGTTTGGAAAGATCCTCTCAAGAAACTCCGATCGTCACCCTCCAACCTCATTTTGACATCCATGGCCATAGCAGACCTATTAGTTGGCTTGGTGGTTTGTCCGGTAACTGCTTATTGGGGCTTGGTGATATCTGTCCGAGAAGAATCACCACTTGATCTTTCTGTGATATGTGCCCTCAACGTTTTCTCTGTAAACGTGAGTTTTGGCCATATGTTCCTTCTAACAGTGGACAGAGTCTTCGCCGTAATTACGCCCCTTCGTTACCGTGCAACAGTTACAAATAAGAGAGTTTTTATTGCCAACTGTGCTTGCTGGATTTATTTCATAGTTTTTGGCATTGCATTCCTCGTGTTGCGCGATTTATTTGCCATAATGGGGGCTGTCTACAACTTTCAACTTCTATTTATGCTTTTGGGCATGTTGGCCATGTACGTAATGATCTTAAACTACTTTCACCGATACTCCAAAGAAAGAGCAGAAGGACACTCACTCAGAGATCGTAACATTATAATGCAAAGAGAAAAAGATCTCTTCAAGGCCATATCGGTCGTCGTCTGCGCATTTCTCATCTGTTACATGCCGTGGTTCATTATTAAAACGTTGATCTACTTTTGCAAAGCGTGCCAAACACATCTATCATTACTGATGATTTCTTTCGCATTTTCAGGAAGTCTGAAGTGCGCAAACTCGGGTTTAAACCCATTTTTGTATACGTGGCGACTCCCAAAGTATAGAGAAACATTGCTATACTTTTGGAGGCAACTCATTTTAAAGAAAGGAAAAGCTAACAAGTCAAAATTTACGATATCTTAAAGCTTCTGTCGAGGGTTTAGTTGTCAGAAAGCACGAACCTTAAATGTCTTAATTTTGATTGTTAAATATACAGATCTATCTGCCGTGTTTCGAACAATCATCAGATTTCGTAAACAGAAGGACCGTGGGGGTTAGTGGATTGCTTGATTGAAGTACGACGTCAGTATCTGAAGATTTTACCCTTCCAGATTTAGAGAGTGACGAGGGTCTCATTGGGTTTAACCATGAGCTGTAAAACGGCAAATAAAAGTTAGCCTTTAGGCAAAAAAAACTTGACAACTTTTAACTGTTAGTCGTAAAGAAAGTTAATGGTTAAAATTTTCTTTCAACCGTAACGGAAAGAAATTAAACGTCAGCAGTAAAATGGTTAACATTTCAACTGTTAGCAGTAAAAGAAGTTATCACCCCAGTGAGACACTCAGTGATTTATCGCCTTTGAAAACCATAAATAGCACTTGCGGGAGAGCGAAGTTCAATGCGAGTTTCACTCGCATTGAAACTGATGCATATTAGAAGGTAGTTTTCTTGCGTGTCGCGATTTTCATTTGAGTTTGATAAATTAATATGAGATCCTTTGAGCCTTAATCAAGCGATCGACACACCAAGCTCTAGGGCAATATCTCGTAAATATCTTTATTTGGGAGCAAATAAATAAAGTTGTCATGAAGTCATTCACGAGAAACGAGTTTCAATTACCTGTAAGTTTTTTTTTAAGTTCCGATCACCAATATCTTAGTTTGTATAGGTAATCACATGATTTTAAGGGCAATTTGGAATAAATAAGCACGAGTAATTTTTTTTTAAAGACTAATAAAATTGCACGAGCCCGTAGGGTGAGTGCAATTTGTGGTCTTTGAAAACATTAACAAGTGCTTATATATTCCAAATTGCACGAGAAAAATCATGTGATTACGTGTTAATAATATACATGAAAAAATGTAAGATAGCTTATCATAATTAAGCAGAAGCAAAGCGCGCGCATCAAGTCCAAAAGTAACTTGTGCAAACCGTGCGTTCGGTCAAAACAACCGCGTACGATCAAAACGTTAATATACAATGATATCTTCACATCTTTAAGGCACAAAAAAGTTCAAAGTCCGACTAAACAGTTAAAGGAATTGTTCAGTCTTTGTCCGAATCACTTTCATCGGCGATGAAATGGAATCGTCGTTTCCGAGGTTTAACCGTGTTTGTTTCTGACTTGGCGTAGGATCGCTCGGGCAAAGTGTTAAGCTGGGTCGGCTCGTAATTTTCGATTTCCTTGGTAATTCACTTCTCTAAACGCCACTTTCTCCAAAAAAAAGCAGTGCTTTTTACATTGTTTTCGTTTTTAGAGCTGTTTTTCAGCTGCGATGGCGAAAGAAAACCTACTTAAATCGCCGGCCATTGTTCCGCTCGCAAATTTTCAAATTTTGTTGCGACATTCAAGGCTCGCATTTGATTGGCTATCTGTGAGTTTCTTTGATTATCGACTGATCTGAATTTGGTTTGTTACTTCTTTGCACTAAATCAACCCTCATCTGAACTAAATTAGCAGAAAACTGCATTTATCTCAACCAATCATAACTGATTAATTTTTCAATGTCTATTATTAGGGTGCAAATAAATTTAGAATAACATCAGGCATTACTCAAGAGAATCGAGTTACAACTTTCTGTAACTTCTGTCCGAGTTAAAAACCAAACCGCCAGACAGTAGAGGGCAAGTAATTGTAGAAAGCTTTGACCCGAAAAAGTTCTGTTTAGCGCAGCCTGATTTGCGTTATGAGAACCTGTCGCTTCCTACTTCAGTGGCGGAAAGCAAGAGTAGAAAAATGTTAAAAACTTTGGTGTAATGTGACTCCTTTTTGCCGAAAACTCTATGAGGAGAACAAGGCTTAGGCTTATATTTCCGATGAGTAAATGTAGGTAATGAAACCAGCATCTAACTGACGGAGGCACAGAAAATGACCCTTTGCTTTCAATTAATATCTTAATGAAGTTCTATAACCTCCTTTTCACTCTTTTTTCCGGCAACAGATCGTCCCTCTTACCTTACTCTATGATTACTATTCTGTACACGCAAACTGATCATGTTAACTTCCGAGAATCATAATCCTTTACAGTCCTGTTCATGCTGTTTTCTGTCGAGTAAATGTCTCGTTATAGGTAAAAATAGTTGTAACAAAGTCCAAATTTTGAGATTTCAAGGATCTTTCTTGGTAAGATTTTGAAGTTCTTTCGTTTCTAGGAAGTCGTGACAGTTAGGAGTCCAAAAAACTTGTCATTCGTTTATCTTTCTGTGCCATTTCAAATACAATTACATCAGTTTACAACAATTGTTAAGGAAAGACGGATTAATAGCAGGGAAATCTAATAAATACCATTAAGTATTGTAGGCTTGGGTTCCTCCACAAAAAGTATTCAGTTAAATAACCCTAGATAACAGAATAGTAAATACCCAGTTTACAAGCCATATTTATTATCCATGGAAGAATGAGTAGTTGCTAAGAAAAGTTATCTCAAATCTTTTTTCTGAAGAATGCTAGAGATGAGGAGCCAGTGATCTCAAGATTAAGGGAGTTGAAGAAAACTGCTGAACATATTTGTTTCACAAAATGTAGAGGAAAGGAGTTTGCGTGCCTTGTGTTGTGGCTCATGAATAGGATCTTTTGAACGAAAGCATGAAATGACCAAGCTTTTTAAGCAAGTTAACGTATTTTCTCGAATAAGCACCTACGCTCAAATAAGCGCCTCTACCGAATAACCGACAACCCCCGTGGCCATATTGGGGACCTTTAGCAGTTAGGACAGCAACGTCAAGGAAGACATTGATTAAAAATGAATATATATATATTTATAGTTGGAATTTCGAGAATGACTGGATGTGTTTACCATCTCATACAGGGCCGCAAGTTAACCTCGGCATAACATATGAGAGAGGCGTAGAATTCCCAATAGAAACTTAACTAATTTGCCGTCGGGATTTCCTCTCTCGGACCACGCAAATTTTGATGATTTCACGTTGTTATTTTGCAGAAGAAGGTGAAGAAATGTACACAGTTTTAAAACACACCTGCTGAGCTATTGTTCTGGTTATAAGACCGTTTGTTTTGTCACGTCCTCGTTGCCGTCGCCGTCGTGCTTTGCTTAAGGTCCCTAATATCAAGCAAGTGCCCCCTCGAATAAGAACCCCCCCTCCCTTCCTCCCTCACTGTTTTTAATATTAGGGATACGAGGAAAAGCTGTTTCTATTTCCGCTTTATTTATAACTTTTTTAAGCTTCAAATACAGAGGAATCAGTACTGCTTGGTAGTTTCTTTTTTAGAAACTTGAATATTTTTAAATTTTTACCATGGTAGCTGTATTTTGCAAGTAATGCTATCCCTATTTTAATATAGTTTGATATAGTAATTATTTTCACACGACCCCACAAGCTTTGAGCTTTAAACCCTATCGTGCTTAAATAAAAGATATTATTATTATTATTATTATTATTATTATTATTATTATTAAGCACCCCCTTCGATTACGCGCCCTCCTTCCGATAAGCGCCCCTCCTTTAGGCCGAAACTTTAAAAAGGCACCTGGGCGATTATTCGAGGATATGCGGTGATTATAAGTTTCTTGAAAATAGGATCCGTCTGAGTACCATGGTGAGACTTGTTTACTTTCCCGATGAAACATTTTTGCTTAATGACAATTCTATGATCATTTGTTTTTAGAGCTTCATCCGCAGATTAAATTACAATCTTTAAGGTTTGGGGTCATCATGGGACGAGAGGATTTGGAAAGAATGAAACTAGATCTAAAAAGTATACCTGTGGATTTCAATATTTTTACTAGCTACGTCAGATATATGCGATTTCCATGTTACATTTTCATCTAAAACTAACTTAAGTTAGATCATTTTATTGACGTGTGCAGTGGGTTTCTGATTGATGACGATATGAAAGTCGACATGAAATGCTTCTTTTCTCAAGGTTTAAGTTCTGAAAACAAGTATCGGGAATGAAATAAGATGGATTGATATTTGGATTCGCCCCACTATTTCTTAAATTTAGATTATGCGAGCCCTAAAAGTTAACTACACTTTTGAGAAACGGGCCCTTAGCCCCCTACATGTGACCTTGTAGAGTCTCAATCTCTTTTAGTAGTTTTTCTATCTCGTGGAACGATTACAAGTCACACAAAAAGGCCATCCCGACTCAAATAATAAAATTTTGGTGATACCCAGACCACCAGTTGTTTGTGAACTGACAAAGTTATCAATCTTTTTTCCAAACTGACCAAATTACCAACGAGTTTCCAAAGACAATTAACGGAGCACGTGCGATCCCAAGAATGACAAAGGTTACAGATGTAGTCTCTATGTTGTCCACTCTCAGCTAGAGTACATTTAAAGTTTCTTTGTTTGTCATATTCCAAAAATCGTGATGGCTCACAAGCGCAGTCATTCTCATTCAAAACGAAAGCAGCTGAAGTTAGGTCCCTTGTCTGATTTACATGGGGTTTGTGATTTGCCTTGAGGACTCTAATTAAGGAGATTCCGAACTTGACATTGTTTGGTTTGTAAACTAGGCAAAGATAATGACAGGATGTTAATATTTGCTGTGTCAGCAATTTGTGACCATGTAATTGAACAAATGCGCCGAGGCGAAAGCTTATTGCCTAGGTCGTGTTCAAATGTCACGATCTTCATTTCAAACTAATCATCATACGCTATCGTACTCACGAGGGGATTACCAAATTATCAGTGCTCAGCTGAAAATTAAGCTTTTGAAAATGTGCTTACTTTGAGCTTGAAAAGTGATTCGGTGTCTTTGAGGGGTCTCTCACTGGTGTACAAAGATACGGAGAGATTAAACGCGTTCACACCAGCCAAGCATTTTTTAAAAAATACAATTTTGTCGCTCAAGAAAAATATTTAAGAACGTTGATGCTAGCAACCGAAACGTTCGACTTTGAAAGATTGACTTGTGTTTGTGACCAGCCAAGGAAACACAACACACTGATTGTACTGGTGCGTAGGCGAAAAGCGCGAGGACATATCAATATCTACTGTTGTATTCAGCTGTCACTCCTTTTTGTTAATGGAGAGCTGTTACGAATCTAGTGTACAATAAACTGCAAATCTGAAATATTGACCACCTCTTGAATATTTGCATTAGCTGTAAACATGAGGTGTACTTGGCAGTTCAGTTTCAATCAGTGTAGATGTAAGGGCTATATAAGACTGATGCTGCCGTTAACGTCATTTTCAGAGTCATCAATTAAGTTATATTCCCTCATAGAATAGAGAGATGAAGTGATTAAAAAAAATGTAATGATTTAGAAATAAGAGCCATAGGATTTTTACATGAAAGCAGTAAAGGTGCTTTTGTGCGCCACATCGGGGAAGATTTTCTGTTCAGTATCGCAATTGCTGAATCTGACCAAGTTAAACATTGGAATTTGAAGGAGCCTAATTGCATTAGATTTTATGATTTTGGTTTGACCGACTGACTTTGAGGGCCTATGTTATTAGGAAGGCATGATATTGATTTTGCATATAGTTAATGCCTAGGGTCTGTCATATGAGTTTTCTCAGGAAGGTATTTTTCAAAAGATAAGAAATGTAAATTTGTTGTTGTTGAAATTAATCAAAATGTGTTGTTTGAACTAAGCAGCTTTTAACAAATTTATCGATTACCTTTTTTCTCCATTAAACGCCCCCGGCGTTTATTTAAAAATCGGCAGTTTTTATCCGGCGTTTTTTCGATGCCGGCGTTTAATAAGGGTCGGGCGTTTAATCGAGAAAATACAGTACATCGTTGTCCAATCCAATGCAATTCGCGACTCATTACTATCTACTCATAGGGGAGGGGGAGGGGAAAGGGAAAGGAGAGGGTGGAGGGGAGGGGGGAGGGGCGGACGGGAAAATGTTTGGCTCGATTACGTGACATTAGGAAGTTATTTATCATTTACAATTTCTGGGTTTTCGTTCAATTCATTTAAGCAAACTATCCTTTAAAATACATTGCTGTAAGGTGAACTTGTAGGCTGTAATTGATACGATCTATGAGAAGGGATGCTATCGAAAGATGCATGCAAATTTAAAGCAATCTCGTCAAGTCGTTGAAAATTTTTTATTTGTGCTATAAAGCAAATCTTTTTGCATGGATAAAAGTCTCTAAAAGAAGTAAAGACAAGAAAAGTAATATGAGTGTAGACATTGATTAAATTTTTGAACTGTGAAAGTTGGCCTAAGGGCTAGGTCGCATTACAGATCAATTTTCATTTTGGCTCGAAAAAGTCGGCTGGAAAATCAAATTGCTTCAGACCGGAAATGAAAATGAATTGAGCTTATACGGTCGTTTTCTCCCGATTTTGAAATTTTTGAAAAATCACAAATGAGGGGTCGCACTAGAAAACAGGTATGTTGACAGATTTTAGTCCCTAAAGTAAACAGTTTTCTGTAAAATCGTCTGTAATGCGACCCGGCCCTAACCAAATTGTTGGTTGATTATTACGTGATCCAGCCGCATGCATCAATATCTTTCACAAAGGGAAATTTGAGGGGGCATCTAAAAACAATAAGACGATTTTGAACAATAAGGATATTAGTAGTTGTCAAAATGTCGTTTCCGTCTTAATGACGTCAATGAAGATAAAGAAGCATGTCATGAGCATTTTCACAAATTGAAAGACGAAGGTTGAATCATAAACGTAAACATAGAAGTACGATTAAGTTTTTGTTTGTCCAGTTTTCTTGTTTTCTTTGTTTAAGTCTCGTCTTCTGCTTTAAAGAAGCATTTATTGGAGCCCAAGTTGAGACCATACATCATTGGAAATAAAAGCTTCCAATATCTTTGGTTAAACTGCAAACCTTATATGGTCATTGTCTTCTTGAGGTCAAAGAAAGAAACAAATTTTGTTTTCAAAATACTGTGACGAATGCAAAATCGACTTCATTTTACACGAGACTCCATCGAGGAAACCAGATAACAGGTTGAAATGGCGGCCGTTCTCGGCCACTACAACTTCTGGAACATAACAAGCGAGCAAGCTCTTGAAGAAGGATGGCTAAGCCTACAAAACGTGAGGCCACTTTCAGCGATCAGCGCTGCCCTATCGATAGCAATGGCACCAGTAATCATATTTGGAAATATTTTGGTCTTAGTTGCAGTTTGGAAAGATCCTCTCAAGAAACTCCGATCATCACCCTCTAACCTCATTTTGACATCCATGGCCATAGCAGATCTTTTAGTTGGCTTGGTGGTTTGTCCGATAACTGCTTATTGGGGCTGGGTGATATCTTTCCGAGGAGATTCACCGCTAGATCTTTCTGTGATATTTGCCCTCAACGTTTTCTCTGTAAACGTGAGTTTTGGTCATATGTTCCTTCTAACAGTAGACAGAGTCTTCGCCGTAACCACGCCACTTCGTTATCGTGTAAGAGTTACAAATAAGAGAGTTTTTATCGCCAACTGTGCTTGCTGGATTTATTTCATAGCTTTTGGAAGTGCATTCCTTGTGTTGCGCGATTCATTTGCCATAATCGGGGCTGTCTACAACTTTCAACTTCTATTTATGCTTTTGGGCATGTTGGCCATGTACGTAATGATCTTAAACTACTTTCACCGATACTCCAAAGAAAGAGCAGAAGGACACTCACTCAGAGATCGTAATATTATAATGCAAAGAGAAAAAGATCTCTTCAAGGCAATATCGGTCGTTGTCTGTGCTTTTCTCATCTGCTACCTGCCGTGGTTCATTGTTCAAGTGTTGATCTACTTATGCAAAGCGTGCCATCCACATTTACCATTACTGATGATTTCTTTCGGATTTTCAGGAAGTCTGACATACGCAAACTCAGGTATAAACCCATTTTTGTATACGTGGCGACTCCCAAAATATAAAGAGACATTGCTATACATTTGGAGGCAACTCATTTTAAAGGAAGAAAAAGCTAACAAGTCAAAATTTACGATATCTTAAAGCTTCTGTCGAGGGTTTAGTTGTCAGAGGCATGAACCTTAGATATACAGATCTAATTGTCCTAAAAGAATGGTGTTGAATATTTAATATCTGCCGCGTTTCGAACAACCACCAGATTACGTAAACAGAAGGACCGTGGGGGTTAGTGGATCGCTTGATCGAAGTACGACGTCAGTATCTGAAGATTTTACTCTTCCAGATCTAGAGAGTGATGAAGGTCTCATTGGGTCTAATGATAAGCTGTAAAACGAAAAAAAATATTGAGCCGTTAAGCGAAAAACTTGGCAACTTTTAACCGTTAGTCGTAAAAAAGTTAATTGTTAATTTCTTTTTAACCGTAGCGGAAAGAAATTAAACGTTAGCAGTAAAAAAATTTATCACCCCAGCGAGACACTCGCTGATTTATCGCTTTTGAAAACCATAAGTAGTACTTGCGTGAGAACGAAGTTCAATGCGAGTGATTTTGCTCCAACAATTGTACTTCCTCTGACGCTGATGCATTTTAAAAAGGTAGTTTTCTTACGTGTTGTGATTTCCATTTGAGTTTGATAAATTAATACATAAATCAAATTTTATGTGAGATCCCTTAAGCCTTAATCAAGCGATCGACACAACAAGCCCAAGGGCCATAGATTATATTTAGTGAAGACGTAAATATCTTTATTTGGGAGCAAATAAATAAAGTTATCATGGCGTCACTCACGAGAAACGAGCCACAATTTCCTGTAAGTTCCCTCCAAGTTCCGATTATCAAACTTTAGTCATACTCCCAAACAATATCTTAGTTTGGGCGCAAATAAATTTAGTATAACATTATGAATTTACTCAAGAGAACGAGTTACAAGTTACTGTAAATTCTCTCCGAGTTCAAAACCAAACCGCCAGACAATAGAGGTCGAGTAATTGTAGAAAGCCTTGACCTGAAAAGTTCTGTTTAGCGCAGCCATATTAGTGTTACGAGAACCTTTCGTTTCCTACTTCAGTGGCGGAAAGTAAGAGTCGACAAATGTCAAAAACTTTGGTGTAATGTGACTCCTTTTTGCCGAAAACTCTACGAAGAGAACAAGACTTCGGCTTGTATATTTTCGATAAGAAAATGTAGGTAATAAAAACCAGAATCTAACTGACGGAATCACAGAAAAATACTTTTTTATTATTATCTTAGTGAAGATTTATAACCTCCTTTTCGCCCTTTTTTCCGGCAGCAGATCGTCCCTCTTACCTTAATGTATGATTACCATTTCTGTACCGACGCAAGCTGATCATGTTAACTTCCGAGAATCATAATCTTTTATATTCTTGCTCATGCTGTTTTCTGTTGAGCAAATGTCTCGTTATAGGTAAGAAAAGTTGTAACAAAGTCCAAATTTTGAGATTTCAAGGACCTTTCTCTTCAAGATTTTGAAGGACTCAATTCTTTAGTTTCTCGGAAGTCGTGAGAGTTAGCAGTCCAAAAAACTTGTCATTCGTTTATCTTTCTGTGCCATTCAAATACAATTTCATCAATTTACAACAATTGCTAAAGAAAGACGGATTAATGGCAGGGAAATCTAATAAATACCCTTAAGTATTGTAAGCATAGGTTCCCCTACAAAACGTATTCAGGTGAATAAACCCAGACATCAAAAGAGTAAAAAACCGAGTTTACAAGCCATGTTTATTATCCATGGAAGAATGAATAGTTGCTGAGAAAAATTATCTTAAATCTTTTTTCTGAAAAATGCTAGAGATGAAGAGCCAGTGATCTCAAAAGTAAGGGAGTTGAAGAAAATTTCTGAATATATTTGTTCTACAAAATGTAGAGGAAAGGAGTTTGCGTGCCTTGTGTGTGGCAATGGATTCGGTTGTTTCTCATGAATATACTTTGACATTTTTAAGGGAGGATCTTTTGAACTAAAGCATGAAATGACCAAGCTTCATCAAATGAATGTCGTGGAATTTAAGTAAGTCACCGTATTTTCTCGAATAAGCGCCCACCCTCGTGGCCATATTAGGGATCTTTAGCAGTTAGGACAGCAATGTCAAGGAAGACGTAGATTTAAAAATGAATATATATTGAATGGAATTTCGCGAATGACTGGATGTGTTAACCATCTCTTACAGCGCCGCAAGTTAACCTCAGCATAACGTATGAGAACTGCGTAGAGTTCCAAAAAGAAACTTAACTAATTTGCCGATGGGATTTTCTCTCTCGGACCACGAAAATTTTGATGATTTCAAGTTGTTATTTTGCAGAAGAAGGCTAAGAAATGTACACAGTTTTAAAATGCTCCCGCTGAGCTATCGTTCTGCTCATAAGATCTTTTGTTTTGACGTCCTCATTTCCGTCGCCGTCGTGCTTTGCTAAAGTTCCCTAATATTATACAAGTGCCCTCTCGAATAAAGAACCCCCCTCCCCTCATCCCTCACTTTTTTTAATAATAGGGATACAAGGAAAAGCTGTTTCTATTTCCGCTTTATTCATGACTTTTTTAAGCTTCAACTACAGAGGAATCAGTACAGATTAATAGTTTCGTTATAAGCGCTCTCCTCGATTAAGCGCCCTCCTTCCGATGAGCGCCCCTCTTTCAAGCTGAAATTTTGAAAAGGCACCCGGACGATTATTCGAGGATATGCGGTGATTATAAGTTTCTTAAAAATAGGATCTTTCTGAGTATCATAGTTAGACTTGTTGACTTTCTCGATGAAACGTTTTTGCTAAATGACAATTCTATGATCATTTGTTTTGTAGCTTCATCCGCAGATTAAATTACAATCATTAAGGTTTGGGGTCATCATATGGCTTGCGACGAGAGGATCCAAAAAGTATACCTCAGGTAGCTAACGTAGCTAGTAAAATTATCTAAATCTACAGTGTAGATTTAGATATTTTTACTAGCTACGTCAGATATATGCGATTTCCATGTTACATTTTCATCTAAAACTACCCCAAGTTAGACCATTTCATTGACGTGTGCAGTGGGTTTCTGATTGATGACGATATGAAAGTAGACATGAAATGCTTCTTTTCTCAAGGTTTAAGTTCTGAAAACAAGGATCAGGAATGAAATAAAATGGATTGATATTTGAGACTCGCCGTACTATTTCTTAAACTTAGATTACGAACTGTCGCGGTGAGCCCTACAAGGCAACTACACTTTTGAGAAACGGGCCCTTGGCCTCGTACCTGTAGAGTCTCAAACTCTTTTTGTAGTTTTTCTATCTCGTGGTAGTCTGTGGAACGATTTTAAGTCACACGAAAGGCCATCCCGACTCAAATAATAAAGTTTTGGTGATACCCAGACCACCAGTTGTTTGTGAACTGACAAAGTTATCAATTTTTTTTAAAACACTGGGCGTCCGTACTTTAAGACAATTTTGGAGCGACTAGGTAACCGGTCGGAAATCATTTTCACAAGAACCTTCTTATGAAGGAAAAGAAAACTAGACTATTTCAGTTGTACTCGAGATCGTTTGTATAACAAAGGCAAGTTAAGCTTTTCAAGCCTGTCAAATTTTTGGAATTGGTTCACAACATTCTGCCCTCAAGTTCTGGTGTCATATATATATATATATATATATGATAATGCTTGCTAACCAAGAAAGGAGAGTTTGATATGTGTAGACAGACGCCCCAAGCTTTTCATGGCTGAAACACAAGACAGTTTCACTGTTTTGTTCACTTTGGGTTTATTTTGTCACTAGATAACCTTTCACCTTAATATGGCCAATTACCTTTTGGTGAATTCCGTTCCAAATTCAACTAGAGAGAAAAGGTTTACGGAAAAGATGCTTTTTATAGAATTATATATTTCATATTAATCTCGAAGTGATTATTTATGCTAGACGTTTTTGCGGAAAATTTTGCTTAAATGAGAGATGAAATTCATTGTATAGCGAGCGGATTTGGCAGTTTTTCATACAAGCGTTCTAACATCCTGTTTGTCTCAGATTTTTCAAGGTGAAGATCATGTTAAAGGAGGTCACGATCATGCTTTAATGATCCAAGTGATAGACCTTGAATCAATGAAAACTTCAAGGAATATCTCCAGACAATTTCCCACGGAAAACGTACATGTAGATTATATCTTAACTAAAGTTTTTCTCGACTGATGTGTAGGCCCTGTTTTTTTCTTATAACGGTCGCCAGCGTTATTTCCGTTTCCGTTTTTTCGTTTTGTCTTTAAAAAAACTGGAAAGAGTAAAACATATTAGAAGAAAAGTTTTTCAATTGATTTTCCAAATGAAAAGTAGCAGGTTGTCAATTTTGCTCAATTCATAACCAAGGCATACATCTTCCAAGCATTTCAAACATTTTTTTCTGCTGTCATACTCTCCTGATTCCATTGACGTCCTGCATACAGTCCTGTGAGGGCACATAAGTGAACTTCAGTTCCACACGACCTCTGCTCTTTGATGGCAGAATCAAGTTATTGATTAAAAACCATATTTCTTTCTTGTATTTCAATGTTATTCCTCTGCTGTCTCCCAGCTTGATTTGATTGTCTCACAGCAGATTTAGCAATGAGTTGTTATCCAGCCAATTAGAGAACGACCAGAATTCCATTACAAGACCGCACAGCAATTTTCCTGGAATGATAGTTTGCTTTAAATAGAGAACAAATTAGAACGTAAAGGGAGAAAATCAACGGAGCTTTCTCTTCTGTCAGTACAAGTAAGTTCCGTAGTTTGTTACTTAGCAGTTTTTTCGAAGCGATTAACTATTGGATATATTTTGTCGATCAGATTTCGGCCATAACCATATCAAAGAAAAAGGAAACGTTTAGTACAAAACATTGCCTTCGGCAAAGGTTTATTGTAGACTGTTCGTCGCATGGTATTCATAATAGTGGATTCACCACCAAATATTAAGCTAATGATATATATCGTAATGCGAACTCCCGATAAAATCTAAGCAACGCTTGGGAACTTTGTACCAGCAGCCCACTTGGATTGCTCTACACAAGCTTTCTTGGTGGAGTATCCGAAGAGCTAGATTCGTTTGAAGTTACTCATATTCTTCAATTTTATTGTTTTCTGTTTTGAGGCATGTCTGGAAGAAGAGGTTTTTGTCTTGTTTTGACTGGGCTTGTACTCTTGCTGTTAGAGTTATCATCGGCTAAAGACGGTAGGTTATTCGTTAGTAAAAGCCAACCAAGTCTATCTTGCATCTTTTATCTTCAGTATCGTCAGAATCTTAGAAAGATAACTGCTCTAATAAAGTAAATATTCAAATTAGTAACAAATCTCCCATTAGAGGCCATTACTTCTCACTTTCTTCCTTCTTTTATCCAGTTTTAAAATAATCGTTTTCATCCACTTTTTACAATATTTGTTGCGTTTTCAAAATCCCGGTGTACCCCCAGCCTAAATTTCAGAAGGTTACTGAAAATAGAACTTAGCTCAATGCTCTCATTCCACCCCTTGCGTCACTGAAGATTAGAAAAGAAAATTGTTTAAGTCATGCCAAATGTACATGTAGTGGTAAACCGTGCATTATTACGGTCGTTTCTTTATAGTGGTATCCTTTCATCATATTACATTGTATCTTGACATTTATTGTAGATTGTCAGAAATTATTAGACTTTGAGGGGAAATCACAGGAAAACTGCCTGAGACGTATACCAGACACCAGAGGAACAATAACATTCTCAACTTCCGTAGCCAAGCTCGGCTCAAGGTCACTGAGATGGGAATCTGGCACCACAGGAAAATCGCGATTGAGGTACACCAGGCCCCCATCTGCCCGCATCAGAGGACGTGACCTAAGCCGAGGAGGGGTGAAGATGTGGATCTACAAAGAGACTCCCTCACCTGGAAGAAGCATGCAAGTTAGATTTAGAGATACAGCTCGGAGCAACCAAGTTGGGTCATTTGATATTGACTTGGGATTTAAGGGATGGCGAGGAATATGGGTGTCCTATGAAGAATGCAAACGTTACTCTCATAGCCTCAACTCTCCCGCTGAAATTGATAGAGTCGATTTTGCCTTGAGCCATCACGACACAATTCATATCGATATGCTTGACTTTGTGAGAAGGATGTCATTTCAGTCTCGTGACAAAATAGTTCCACCTTTCACAAGATTCGGCTCACGATATGATTCAAGCAACTTCTGGCAGCAAAGCTACCGTTGGAGTCAGCAGGCTCCGACTGCCCTTCCAGAAACGGTGGTTGCTTCAAAGTCCTTGAGTCTCACTCACATCGAGAGTCGCTTGAAAAACTGGTACTGCGATGAGAGGGAAACCACCTACGACTTCTCTGGAGAAGCCAAGAAGCGTTGGGATAAACTGGTGAGTAGCATTGACACTGCATATCTGGAATACGATAGACTTTTATTTAGGACGCTACACTCAGGAAAAACAGTGATAGTCGGGCCTCCTCTGTTCTGTCGCGGTTGTAAAAGGGGAACACGAGCGTATTCCTTGAAAGATCCAACAAGAAAGTTCAGCTTCGTCCAAATGCGTATCATGCTTCCTTTAGCCATAGAGTTTTATCTTAAATCCCGCGCCAAAGAAGTTTCCCGAACTGTGACAGAAGAAACTCCCCAATTGAGCTCTACTAACAAAGTCGATGTGGACCGTGCCATTGAAAGGATTTGTGGAAACAATGCAAACAGACAGAAAAAGTTCCGTGAGTACCTCGAAAGTCTGACAAAACCTTACACAAAGGACCAAGTACGCAAAATATTAAATGACGAAAACAAAAACCGCCTTGAGAGAATAATTAAACTGCTTGACTACATTGAAGACCAAGGATGGGCTGATGGAAGTGCAATAGGCTCCCTGGATCATGAAATGAACCGTGGTGGTGCTGGGTACACACACACTCTTTTCTTGTTGAAAGACGCCTTACAAGGGAACACTAAATACAGATCAAGACTTTTAAACTTAATAAATACTGCCAAGTGGTATAATGATTTTGGTGAAGTTTACCAATCGACGTTCGAGTATAGTGGAACTACGGCTGACAGAATGATTACAATAATGTTGTTTCGGCTCATGATTGTGTTGATAATGCCTGCTAAGTCGGATATGGAAAAAAAGGAGAGGCAAAGGGATATGGATGCTTTGAAACGATGGATGGATAACGCCCTGAGTATCAACAAAGCCTTCGGTGGAGTTATTAAACCTGATTACACTGGCTTTCATCACAAGACATTCTACGCATCTGCGTATGCCCCACACGCATATCATACAGCTGCACAAGTGCAATACCTCTTAGAAGGAACAGATTTTGCACTGTCAGATGAGTCGAAACGAAATTTACTGGAAGCTCTTGAAACAATGAGGCTAGTAGCAGTAAAGTATTCAACACCAAACAGTGTCGGCGGACGCATTGTAGACTATTCCAAAAAGATTTTGGTAAACATTCTCCCAGCATACGCCTACATCAGTGTTTCCCATCCATCTGGGCCACTGGCATCAACCCCAGCCGAAGAAGTGTCAGTTCCTGCTGTTAAGAACGTTGGGATGTTTTTACGTTTGTACCAGCCTACTGACGAATTTGTTAAAAAGTACTTGGAAGATGGAACGGTTAACAGAGGAAAATCGTACATGAACAGCCTTGGATCACTGAAAATTATGTCCATCGTAAGTTTATTAACTGAATGTTGCTGAATGCCTATACATATAGTAGCTTACGTCAATATTTTTGAGAACTTATATCAGATTTTTTTCTAATACAAGGAATCTCATTCCTATAAGTAAAGCACCAATAATGTTTTGGATACACTACACCACTGTTAACAATCTGCATCAAATTTGAGGTGACCATAAACTTAGGAACCCAGTTACCGTGCACTTTGTTGCTGGTCGACTATTTTAAAGAATTGATTCAAAAAAGAAGAAATACTTAAAAGCTAGTTAACCCCTTTTTAATGCAATTCCAATGCAGGGCTACATGAAAATTGGGCTTCATTTGATTCCTTCCGTTTTTAATAAGTTAGAGATTGCTTTTATACTTGGACGAAAAAACTTTTTTGTGTGCGCCAGAAGAACGATGCAAGAATGATTATGTTGCTGCCTAAAGTTTAACGTTACGCACAATACACCCCAATGCTGTTGATTTAAACCTTCCTTCCTGCAATAAAACATTGTAAACGAAACTCTATGCATAAAAAAGGAGAGAGAAAGAGAGATTGGGGGCACATTCTTACCCTTTTATAAGCTTGTAACAATAGCATTTTTTAGGCAAATTACTTGGTGCAAAGTTATATTTTGATTTTTAGCATATTAACTGATTTCTTGTTCGTTTTCTCGAACATAGGTCTTTTCTAAAGGTACATCTCCTGAGCCCTCCCCTGAAGGTCATTGGTCCAAGAACTTTGCTGCTCTCTCAATTCATCGTCGTAAAGACTGGGCAGTGACGATAAAAGGCTTTAACCGGTTTGTCTGGGACTTTGAGGGATCTACAAGGGTAGGAAAACCTGAAAATGTTTATGGTACCTATCAGAGTCATGGTTCAATGTTGATAGCGAACAGCGAAGAAGCATTGAAGGCTCACGATATAAAAAATGGATGGGATTGGACAAAAATACCTGGAGCCACAACAATGTCCCTGACTCTCGCTCAGACGAGTCTGAGTAAGGCAAGAAACTTCAGTCCACGATCTTCTGCTGGAGGAGTAACCTACAGAGGACCAGAGCCTTTATCCAGCGGAGTATTTGGCATGGACTTCCGCCAACCCAGGTACAGTTTTTTGGAGGCGAGCCACCCCTATCCAAATATCAATCTCCGCTTTAAGAAATCTGTTTTCTTTTATCAAAACGTGTTGGTCTGCCTAGGAAGCAACATCAGAATAAACAATGGCGGGGCAACTCAAGCTCAAACGACCCTTTTTCAAGACAAGCTGATAAGTGACAGCTCGTCCATTGAAGTTGACGATGAGCGAAAAGATGATTCAACTCTTTTTGACGCCATGACCCCATTTTCAACTCCAAAAGGAAGTAGAAGGGGATACACTACTCTGGTGGACACCAAAGGCAACAGCTACTACATTCCAAGATCAAGTGCATCCGATCTTAAGGTTCACGTACAAACACAAAACTCGCGAACGTCCTCAGCTAAAAAATCCAGTGGCACCTACGGAACTGCCTGGCTTGAGCACAGTGCGTCTGATGGGAGTTACGAGTATGCAGTTCACATTGATACTCCTTCATACGAAGGCTCTACTGGCTCTTATTGGGAAATACAACATTCTGATGTGTCATATAAGCTATACAGGGTTTTGAAGCAAGACGATGAGGCTCATGTGGTCCGATTTGAAAGATCTCCTGAACGCAATACAGCTTTGCGTCCACTCTATGGTTATGTCTTTTTCCAAGCGACTTCATCTGTCCCTCTTCCTTCCTGGGGGATTGTCTCGTCAGTGAACAGACAATGCAGGATTATGGCGGAAGAAAACACTCAGGAGATTTACTTAAGCATTAGTTACCCCGACCTGAATTTCCCTGGCTCAAAAGTCTTGCGAACCTCCGGCGATGTCAAAGCTCGGGAACTGTTTCGAATGGAAAGTGAGGAGATCCAAGTTGAAGTCACCTTGGCACGCGTTGTGAGCACAACTCTTCCAGAACTGCCCAAGGTACATGGTTCTCCAACTGATTACGTGCCAAGGGTTCGAGTGATTGAAACAGTTACCGAGAAACCAAGCCGAGGAAACAAACTAGTCTTTGCCAATCTGAAGAACGGATTCAGCGTGGAAGTTAAACTGACCAAAATAAATTGTTGACTTTTTAACGGATTCTTAATGTGGTTACTTCTATGTAAACATATCGATGTATTTTAAACAATAAACAACATATTTGAGATTATCATTATCAACAGGAAATATTTATACTGTGTGATGTAGATTAAAGGATTCTTCGTGCTATGTGTTGATTTTGTTGTTTCTCCTGAATCTACTTCAAAATTTTCGAGTGAGGAATTTTTTTTGAATGAGAATATGAACATGACCAGAGTGTAAAATGAATGTCGTGAAATTAACGCACGTGGGTTTCTTGAAAATAGGATCTGTATTAGCATCATATCTAGACTCGTTTATTATCCTGACTTTACGTTTTTGCAAAATTGCAATTATTTTCAGACTTTTTCAGTTTATAGTTTGATCCAGACAAATCAAATTGGTAAAAACTGGAGCACGATTAGCCTTCTGATTGGCTGAAGGAAGCCAGGTTATGAGCTTGTAACTCAGCTCCAACAAATGTGGTCAATGAAGTCGTCGGCGAAGACGAGAAAGAAAAGTTTCTGTGGGCCTTGAGGTTATGGCGACCCTAAAAATGGAATCTTAAAAGGTTTCGGGACTTTTGACAAACGCGCACCTAGACTCTTACCTCTGACTTAGTAAAGTCTCTCTTTGTGTTTTCAATTTTTCTCTCTCTTGGAAATCTTTTGAACAATGACGAGCTACGTAAAAGGCACTGTCGACTCAAATAATAAAGTTTGTTGATAACGAGAGGACAAGCTGTTTGTGAACTAACCCTGGGACGCTTAAGTACATGTGCTGTCAGGATACTAAATTTGTTTTCCAAAATGGCAGCGTCCTTATTCTAGTTTTGAGCATATTTAAAGACAATTTTGGGGTGATTGTAGATTCCGTTTTGGAAATCATTTTTAAAACATCCTTCCTATGAATAAAAAAAAATGCTGAACGGTTTCACTCGGACATGAAAGGCAGGCTGTTTTATTTGTTCCAACCCAGTCAATTCTTAGGAATTCTGCCCTCAAGCTTGGGTATGCCAAGGTTAATCAATAAAAAACTCCTAACCTCTAGAGAACTTTCTTGTAGAATATATATTCTTCTCGGCTGATGTATAGGCTCTATTTTAATCTTATGTTGTCTCTAGCATTTCCAGTGCATTTCACAGACACGAAAAGTGGTTGCCAATTCATAGGAGATATAAGAGTTTAAGGTGGAATGGTCCTTTACTGCAGGCAGTGGTTATAGCCACAGAAAAAAGGTAGAGAGGGATATTTGCATTAGAGGAAATAAGTAAGGTAATATCTCATTCATTTGTCAAAACCTCTGCTTTGAAATGCAGGGTTGCTCGTCTAATTTGGAGTTTGCTGGTTAGTTTTATTATACTGTTGAGGTTAGTAGACTAACTCGAATACCACGCGCAAACGGGAAGCGCCAGGAGTCTGATCAGGAACATTTATGTCACTCTCTGAGGTTTATCGTACGATAATTAAGCCCTATCACAACGGTGAAGGACTCATCACTCAAAGGGGAAAAATAAATGTGCGGTCTTGCGGCACGTAACAAACCAAGGATCACAAGACTTGCATAAGGATTTTAAGATAATCTAACAGGTCTAAACAATTCCTAAACATTTAGCCGGAACATTCCTAATCTCAGTAGTTCCCAATCACTTCTAAGTTTAGTAGTTCATAACAGCTGTCACTTTTGCGCTAAACGTGCACTGTTGTTTTGTTGTCCTTCTCCTTAGCTATGAACAAGATGTGGCGGCGCCCGTATCATATATTTGAGCGCATTGAAAGATTGTCATGAGATCCTTCATATGAAGAAAAAAATACTATTCGATTTCACCTGCACCAGAAATATTTTTGGTAACAAAGGCGGCTTGTTTTTAACCCTGTCAATTGTTTGGATTTGGAACATAGTTTTCTGCCCTCGAGCTAGAGTAACATATTATTTTCGTGATACGATTTTCTAGTCAATAAAGAAGATTTCAAAAAGTCTAATAAGTCACCGAAAGCGTTATACGGCTTTCACAGAGTTGTTATCTACAGGTTTATTTCATAACTAGACAGCATTTCATCGTAATGTGGACCACATTGCATTTTAAAGAGATATGTAAGTATGTATTCGAATTAAATTAAACTTGAAATGATTATATACAATAAAACTATCCGCTAACAATTTTTTTTTGATTCAAAGATTCAGATGGTAGTCATTGTATAGCAGGCATAACACAGTTATACGCGATTCATCCAAGAGGATTGAATCCCATGCACCGAATTTCGTAATCCTGCATACAAGAGTCCTACCATGCTGTTGTCCTAAATTTTTAAGACAGATCACGATCATGCCATAATAATTGGAGTCACAGACACTGAATCTAAGATCTAATTCAAGGAAAAAGGCAAGAAAGACGAACTCTTAACAATTTCCTAGAAAACTTCAATGAAGATTATTTCTAGGCGAAAATCATATTCTCGGCTGATATGCAGGCCCTGTCTTTATCTAATGCGGTTTCCGGGATCAATTACATTTTCACAGACATGAGAAGCGTTTTTCAGTTCAAGTCGAGGTACGTTGAGAGGTCGCTAAGAGTAAGGTGAAATTTTTTTTTTTTAATGGCAGACAGAGATTCTAGCTACAGAAAAATGGTAGAGGAGGAAATTTGTGTTAAATAAAAAAGGAATTAAGATAACATCTCATTCACTGGTCACAATTTCTGCCGTGAAAAGCAGGTTGCTCGTTAAATTTGGAGTTTGCTAGTTAGCTGTCACTTTTTTACGAACTGTTTATTGTTGTAATGCTGTCATCCTCCTAATAAGTAAACAGAGATCGTATCAATTATGAGCAACCTTAGGAAAATTTCGTTAAACCCGCTTCCAGTCGACTCTGTCTATCGTTGTGAGCTTTATCTTAAAAAGAATTTGAAAGAGTAAAACTTTGTGGATGGAAAAGTTCTAAGTTAATTTATTTTTCTTGAAAGCAGCTGTTCGTCAATTTTTCTAGATCGTTATGGTCAACCTGTGACGTAATTCCTGCTTTCACGCTCTTCGATTCCTTTGACAAACCGTCTGGTAAAAGCAGATTTAGGAATAGATTTATTTTTGTCATCTCACTCGTAGCCTGAGCTCTTTTGTATCAGAAGCTGGACATCAATTCACAAACAAGGCAAACATCTTCCAAGCATTTCAATAATTTTCTCCGCTGTCATACACTCCTGATTTCATTTAGGTCCACCCTATAGTCCTGTTAAAGTAAATTTAAAGATTGGTAAATTTTGTCATTTCGCTCACTCATAACCTCTGCTCTCTGATGTAAGAAGCAGGTTTTTGATTCATAACCATATCTCTTTCTTTCATTTCGATCGTTAATATCTGCTGTCATCCCCTCATGATTCAATTGTCTCGCAGTAGATTTAGTAATAAGTTGTTATACAACCAATCAGAGAACGACCGCATTGCCATTATTAGATTGCTCAACAATTTCCACGGAATGATAGTTTGCTTTAAATAGAGCTCAACTTGGAACCTAGAGAAGGACGACAAAAGGAGGGTTCCTCTCTGTCATTACGGGTAAGTTCAGTACGTAGTTTGTTGCTTGGTAGTTTTTTTGAAGTGGTTAACTAATGGATATACTATGTCGAAATCAGATTTGGCCTTAACAATAACAATAATAAAAAAAGGAAAAAGATCAGGAAAAAAACATTGCCTTCGGCAAAGAGGCGTGGAAATACTTTATTGTAGACGGTCCCCTCTACGCTGTTTTTTCGTGATTTTTTGGTAACATAACCATGAATATTCTTTCGATTTTCATCGTCTTTGAGTGCAAATGATTGGTAAATTTCTCCTCATCGTAAACTTAGACTTTTTGGATGAGTAACCTTTCAACCTTACTCATTATCCTGCAGTGAAATTGTACGCTAGGAGAGGTTTATTCCATGTAAAATGTTACCTTCCTTTGTTGAGTAGGCCTTATTTAGGAATTTTGTCCTTTAAACCCACTTTGATTACCTTACACGAGCCTCCTTGGTAACGTATCCGAGGAACTAGTCTCTCTCCCTAATCTTCCCCATCTTTATTATTTTCCGTTTTGAGGCATGTCTGGAAGAGGAGGTTTTTTTCTTGTTTTGACCGGGCTTGTACTCTTGCTGGTGGAGTTTACATCGGCTCAAGACGGTAGGTTATTCGTTAGTAAGAGCTAAGGACATGTATCTTACATTCCTGATGTGTCAGTCGTCAAGATCTTACAAGGATCCCTATTTCCCATTGGAAATGATCACTCAAACAATTCATATATATCTTCCACTAAGTCCATTATTTTTTTAGTTTCAAGGTATGCTTTGAATTCATGTGCTGTTTTCAGACTCAAAAATGTCTATCCGTTCATCTATCTCGTTAAAGAGAATTTATTGCGCTTCCAAATCCCAGTGTACTCCAAGCCTAAATTTCAGAAGGTTATTGAAAACAACACTTTGCTCAACGCTTTAATTTCCACCCTTGCATCACTGAAGAGTAGAAAAAATGAAATTTGAGTCAAGCTAAATGTACATGTAGTGATTGACAGTGTATTGTTTCGGTCGTTTCTTCATAATGATATCCTTTCATCATATCATTGTTTTGGCATCCATTGCAGACTGTCAGCAACTATTAGACTTCGAAAGGGAATCACAGGAAAACTGTTTGGGACGTATACCAGAAACTGACATGTTACCTTTGCACTTCTCCAAAACTTCCCCAGAGTGTGGCGATGCCTATAGCAAATCCACATTTTTTTGTTTATCCTCCTGAGCGAAGTGAAATAGGCCAATCTTTGCCAAGATTTGCTCATTTTCACTTAAAAACCTCTTTAGACAGGTGGCAGCTTATCAAATGATGTTTTACTTCGTCATTGCATTCAGACAGTCGTACCAAACCACTTAAGCCACACGATGAACCAAAGTTTTTTCCATCTTTGCTATTCAAAAAGGAGTCCTAATGAACGACTTCTTCCTGTACTTGTAATTGTTTCCAACGCGATACAAGTTCGGGAGATCTAAAGGAACTCACTATAACTTT